TCAAGGTCACGAGAGAGAAGGACACATTCAATGTCAGAAAGTTCTCAGTCTAGTTCTCCCAAGGCCACTGTTAAAAAACGACGACGGAGATCAAGGTAAAGTGGCATAAGCATTTTTTTTCTCTTTACCAAGCACTAAATATTCTTGTGTTGTTAATTATTCCTCTATGATTTTTAATCTGAAGGTCTGGCTCCAACTCGAGCACTGCAGAGCATTCAAGCAGAAAAAAATATAAAGAAAGCAGTCAGGAAAGCAGCAACAGTGGCCATGAGAAAAGAAGGGCGTCAAATGATAAGACACGTCATCTACGCTCCAGATCACGGTCCGGAGATAGAACCAAGGACCGTAGACGTGGACGCTCCCGCTTAAAATCCCCATCAAAGTCACCATACAGGTCCAGATCAAAAGAAAGAAGGAAAGAGCACACACACTCGTGTCATGAGGATGTGAAGGCTCCACCAAAAGACAAAAGGAGACCCCGGTCCAGATCAAGCTCAAGAGAGAGAAGGAAAGTGGATAGTTCATCTGAAAATTTAACAAAAAGTTCAGTGTCCTGTTTTTCATCCTCAAAATATGACAAGGACCCTAAGGAAACTGGAAAACTTAGTTCTGGGAAAGAGGAAACAATTCCGGAAGTAAAAAAAGATGTGTCCAAATGTACCTTTGTTGCAAAAGTTAAGAAGGAAAATGACAATGCAGACATTATGGCCATATCTAAAGGAATTAAGAAAGAAATAAACATTGTTAAAGAGGTAAAGAAAGATAAGCAAGAATTTATAGATATGTTTCAATGTTCTCCCATCCCCCCACACTCAGAGAAAGAAGATCGACCTTCAACAATCCAAGAGATAAAAAAAGAGCCTGTCAAGATAGAAGTGTGTAAAACAATGAAGACGGAAGAAACTTGTGAAATCACTCGAATCAAACCGGAGCCAGTGTCCGCAGAATTGCCAGTCACCTCGCCTCACGCCTCAGTCGGTCAGCAGGAGTCACCGAAGCACTTTCAGCCCAATGGCAAGGGCCTCGCGAACCAGGCAAGCGCAATCGAGTTGAAAGTCCCAATGAAGCAGGCCCCAGAATCTGATGAGGGCATCTCTGTGGATATGTTGCTTCACAGCCTTGACTGTGTGAAGCAAGAGCACACTGAGGGCATTGGTGCCAAAGTCAAACAGGAAGACATCAAACAGGAAGGGAAAACTGAGGCACAACAGCTGCCAACTGCATCTAAAAATAAGATTCAAGGGAAGAGGGTGACGTGGAATATACAAGTGCCTGATGGAGCGCAACCAGACAAATGTGCGAGCAGTAAGTGTTGATTTCTCATTTCCACAATTGGCAGTCCATCAGTTGTACGCGCATCTGTTTGATTTCATCTCCTCCGCTTTCTTTCAGAGCGGGCTTTGTATAAAAGAAAGCTGAAGCAGGAGGCTACTCACAGACCCCCATCCATGAGCACCAGCCAGGTAAGACCTGCTGCAGTTAGGTCCATTTAGGTCCACGAGTATTTGGACAGGACATCTTCTGTTGAAATTGGCCTCTGTACACCACCACAATTGATTTAAAACGTGTAATAAATATATACATAAATGAAGAAGTACCAGTAATACAATTCGAATGAAAATGTGACAGCCAGTGGGCATCGCAAATGATGTTCCTCCCTTATAGAGTGGTGTCTTTGATTATATGAATGCCCCACGAGACATCACTTGACTGATTTACTCATGGACATCACCAGACCTAAAGTTTTTTGCTTTCTCCCTGATAAGTTTGTTTTGATTTTTCAGCCGAATGGGGACTTCCTTCACTAAATAGTGACAGCTTGCTGGACTTTATGTTGAGAGAGGGCCTCCAAATGAATATACTCCGCTTGAAATTAACTCCAGGCCTTTTATCTGTACCTTTTAAATGAAATAGTGAGGCAATGACATATACCTGCCCATGTAATAGCTGAATAGCCAATTGTCCAATTACTTTTGGTCCCTTAAAAAGGTGGAGGCACTTAAGAAATGAGTTGTAGTTCCCAAATTCTTTGTGGTGTTGTACGGAGCTGGAACGATGAAAATTGTATCAATGTCCAAATATTTATGGACCTCATCGTATACTCTACTAGTGACTTAAAGTGATGAATTAAATTCATAAGTTACCAATGTATTTCAATGGACGTCTGTTATTCCAAATATTTCTGAGCTCCTGAAAATAAAAATATAGAATGTCTCAAGGGGAATTTACATCGACACTTGAGTCACTTCTTGTTTGCTATCTATTTTAGTAACTGAAGTTCTGCACCCATTTATCAATGATAATAATAACGATGTAGGATAACTTGATCACCAGTGGGTGGCAGTGTTTATCCCAGCAAGCATTGATGGAGCAGCCTTTTGTGGTTATGTTCTTGAAAACCGAAACCTAAAAATGGTGTCATTTCAGATTAAATAAAACTGAAACCCACATCATGAATTTGAGTACATATTACTATTCATGCAATAACAAGAACATTTTTTTAAATTTAAGATGCCCAGTCAATAACCTTGAACAGTTAAAAAAAAAAAAAAAAAAAGAAAACCACAAAAAAAAAACAGTTTGGCAAAATAAAACATCTGGCTCATGGAACTATTCTACCATTTGATATGATCGGTGTCTTTCTGCTTCAAATATTTCCTCTTCTCAATCTTGACTACTCAAGAAAGCCAGCATGCCAATTTAGACAGACCGACACCAAAAAGGTTCTTGCACTCTTGTGATTGGCTTTAAGTCGGGTCATTTTGCATGAAATACCGGAACAGGACACAAGTGGACCTGGTTCAGTCAGTGATTCATCCAAGAGAGACGACGGCACTCTGCCAACCGGCAGCGGCTGTCAGGCGTATTTGAAGAAACTTCACATGCAGGAGCGAGCCATTGAAGAGGTGAAACTAGCCATCAAACCTTTCTACCAAAAGAGAGACATCAACAAGGAGGAATATAAGGCGATTCTACGCAAAGCTGTGCAGAAGGTGAGTTTGAGGATAGTTGAATGAAATGACATGATTGATTGTTTTCAGCTTAGACCGAAGACTTTAAATGGAAGTCATCATGTGTTCCACTAGGTGTGCCACAGCAAGAGTGGGGAAATTAACCCGGTGAAGGTGGGCAATCTGGTAAAGGCTTATGTGGACAAATACAAACATGCTCGCAAACATCAGAAATCAGAGACGAAACCCACGAAGACGTCTTGACGGCCACTGGTTGAAGTTCCATTCAACACAAATTTACTGTGAGGTTTCATTTCTTCACCTCGGAGGACGAGCAAGGATTTTGATCTTTTGCTTCTACGCGGGTCAAAAAGTTGTCTTTTTGTGCACAGCCAAAGTTGGTACCTTTAAGAGACTTTTCTCTAAGTACGCCCTTTCTTGGCAGCCGTTATGTTTTGTTAATGGGATATTCATCGGTGGCCAAAGCTGCTCTTTTGGTTCACAGGCAGTTTCTACGCAGTTATTTGAAATGTTTATCATTAGGAAAAGTCACTGTTATTAAATCGTCTGAGAAAATGTCAATAGTCTTATTAGGAAGTTTGATATGAACATGTAAATAATTTTGATTTCATTATGACCACTTAACAGTTTCTTTCCGTAAACTCTGCCTGTTGCTAATGTCTCAATTTAATAAATGGATTGAGATTTTATGACTTGAACAAATATGTATGAGACTCTATTTTTCAATAATTTGTAAGTAACGGCATCCAAAACAACACTCACCAGTGGACATAGCCAGGAACTTCCTCCAAGACTGAGAGAAAGGAGAGAACAACATTGAGACTAAGTGTAAGCCAGCTACAATAGCGAACTATCAATTGCTGAATAGTTCTGTTTTTAAGCCGTATAAGCTTTAAAGGAACAAAGTAGAGCTGGATTATTCTTTTTGTCTTTTTAAAAGCTAATTTTAGGAGAGTACAGAAGGGAGCAGATGGTGTGTGTGTGTGTGTGTGTGTGTGTGTGTGTGTGTGTGTGTGTGTGTGTGTGTGTGTGTGTGTGTGTGTGTGTGTGTGTGATACACTTCCTTTTTTCTGTTTACTGTGAATAATTTTTTTTCTCTCATTTTCACTATCCGACTGTTTTAACTAAACAGCAAATGAAATGTATCTGGGGGAACATTTTTGAACATGTCTTTAGGGGTGTTCACATGGCACACATTTTCATCGGTGCTGCACCGACATATTTTGTTGCGATATATCTTACACCGGTGTAAATTTTGTGGAGCGTTCACACGTAAAAAGCTGCTTACTAAAGAGAAGCGTGTTAACCACGGTGCAGCCCCACTTGCGTTCACACGGCAGTTTTTGCGGCCGTGCAATACGATAGTAGTAATACGGAAATAAAACGTGCATGCGTAAAGTGTTCTTCCTTTTCCCCGCCTTGTTTGTGACATATCGAAAAACCATGGTTTATACTTCTCCAGACAAATCAACGCTGTGGTCTATCAGACACCGTAAAAGGATGAGAGAAGAGAGAAAGGAAAGACGACGGGAGTACAACAGAGCACGAAAGCAACACATTCAATACCCGGATGTAATCAACTCTTCTCACGCGCTACAGGGGGCAGCCCCGGTGCTACACCGGAGTAAAAGTTGCCGTGTGAATACCCCTTTTCATGCAGGCTCAGCACCATATAGGTTACCATACAGTGGTAGTCTTTGGCCCCCTTGACTTTTTTACCTTTTGCCACCTTTCAGGCTTAGACATAAAAATTTTTATATCTTTGTTTGAAACCTGGAAGGTGGAAAAAGGTCAACATACTTTGGCAAGCCACTGTACTTTTCTAGCTGATCCACAAGTAAAGCACTCTTATTTCCGGATGAATTTAGATTAAAAACTAGTATCTTATAATTAGCTTTATAGTTGGAAAGATTTAAATGTTGATTTAAAAGGCACAATTTACACTTAAATACTGAATACTATGTACTGCATTTTAAAAGCAAAATTATTTCAGAGGAAAAGCGTACCATGTTTATCAAAAAGAACCAGTTGGGTTTACAAAGGATTTATTGACAAATGGAGCAGATTGGAATCAGGGCCGGCGATCTCCACAGGACTGTTAGCTAAACTCAGTTGTCGGTGGGCTCAAGTGAGAAGCAATGAAATCATAGAAGCTGTTGTGGGACAACTGGAGGCTGATGTTTGCGCTGTTCAGAGAAGACGCTCCCTCACTCTGGGCCTTCTCGTGAAAGGATTGGAAGATCAGCGGGACCACCTGTGTTAGCACAGGGAAGGACTTTTTGGAGCGCTTGTCTGCATGAAAGAGGATTGACTGCACATGATGTAAGTCGAGCCTCACCTGGACAACAATAAGCTTCTTCTCCAGCGGTTTTCCATCTGGAAACATCTCTCCGAAACACATTGTGATGGTATAGTTAGGAGAGCTTCCCCTGTTTTCTTTGAACTGTTTTAGTTCTGAAACAAATGTAAATTAAAAAAAGGTAACAGTTCACTGTGTACTATTCTGTAAGGTTACTTGGTTTTAGGTAATTATGCCCACCATGAACAAACTTCTGAACGTTAAAAAGCTCCACAATAGTGTTTTTGGGTAATTTTCTCGGGTGCGCTCGAGCCATGCCGGACTTATCGGTGCTGGCAAACACATGGCAAGTGTCCTGCCTGATGCCGTAAATGCCAGACTCGTGGACTTCGAGGAGGAGACCTCTCTGGATGCTGTTCAGGATGCGATTGGTGTACTCAATCTGGCGGAAGGACAGTTGAGGTTAGGAAACAACTATGGGCCACCTTTGTGCTTGGCCTTCAAGTATTAGGACACAGGCACTGTTGACTTTGCCTATTTCTCCCAACACAACAGATTCAAAATATAAAAACACACGACTGAAGTGTACACTGACAGTTTCACAAAAATAAGGCTTTTACAATACCATACAGCAACTACAGCCATTTTTATGGATCGTACTGTACATCAAATATCCAGTGATCCAATGTATTTGCGCATGGCATAATTAAAACACAATTCCAAATAATCAATGAATGCACCCATAACTGTTAAATAGTTCACACCAAAGGACTTTTTTATGCTTCCCTCTCTACTTTTTTTTTAACTACTGATTGGACTACTGATAGACCACTTAAACTGCTGCTTTTTATCGACTCAATGCTAAGTAGCAACCCGAGTCTTTTTTCCCCACTTGTTTTGAAGTTGGACAAAAAAGGACTGGACCTGATCATTTATCCTCATATGAGACAGTTGTTCAAATACTTTTGAGCCCTGGAAATGGAAGCGTTCAACATAAAATGGATGAAAATTGCACAAAACTAGATTTTTTTTTTCCTTGCGAACATTTTTATCATTAATTTTGATCACTACAAAAGATGTTTTGGAACTTAAGTATCCTACATTTGTTTCCCCCATCCAAGGTGAACTCATTCAATCAGATATGAGTCTACAATTCAGTCCCACTTGTTTTATTTCGAATTTGAATGGTGCATTGAGTGTGGATTGATTCCACATCAGCTGCAAATACACTGTTAAGGACTCATCCCGTATTTCTCTGCAGTAGTACTTATAAAATCAGTTCTGTTACCGTAGGCCATTTTAGACTGTGTCTGTTGAGTGTGGCAAGGCACCTGTTTGTGGTCCAGCAGGCCTTCAGTGGTGGGGAAGCAGAGAGGATAAGAGTTGTTCTCACAGGGCCCTTGTAGGTAGTGCAGTTGGAGGCGGTCTGTGTTCACTATAGTCTTTAACATTTGTCTATTTCTGTAGTGGATGGAGACCTCCAAGTCAGTACTCCAAGACTGAGACAGATATGGATTTACTGGGAAAAGAAAAGATCAAGTTTGAATCATACAGAACCAGATCATGTTACAAGATGCAAGTAACTAATGTGAGGTCCAGCCTCTCCTCTTCGAGTGAGGGTGAGAAGCTCGGTGATCAGAAGGGGCCAAGAGTAGTGCCTCTTGCGCATGGAAAGTAGCCAGACAAAGTGGCTTAGGCATCTGGATAGAATGCTTCATGGACGCCTCCCTGGTGAGGTCTTTGGGTATATCTCACAGGAGGGAGGCCCTGAGGATGTCCCGGAGAAACTGTCTCTTAGCTGGCCTGAGAAGGCCTTAAGGATCCTCCCGGAGGAGCATAACGAAGTGGCTGGGGTGAGGGAAGTCTGGTCTTGCCCGCTTAAGATGCTGCCCCTATGACCTGACCCCATATTAAGCCGAAGGTGGATGGATGAACATCAAGGGTCATTACACACATTTAGATGAAGGAAAATGTCATTGTCAGAAGGTGAGGTGAGAGTCCATTTTAGTACTGGCCATCAATGTAGTATTTCGCGTACAGAGCTAATTATTCAACTCAAACGTAACAAAATGTCTTGTTTCAGCATCCATTGTGAGTCAACAGTGTTTACCCGCACACAAGGAAGAAACTGCTCACCTTGTTGAAGATGAGTGGCATTCTCAGCTATTGCAGCAGCAGAACTGTTTCTCTGCACAGCTGGATGTTGAAAATATTCTGTTAGGTGCCCATCAGAGAGAGAAGAAATTACATTTTAATGAGGAACATTTGTAAGAGGGAGAAAGGTTAACTTTCCTGAAGTAAATGGGATATACCTGATGGATGGCTGCCAAGCTCAAAAGCATTGTTAGCAAATTGTTGCTGTTTGGAGAGAAAAAAACAGCATTGAAGTTGTTATGAGAACTCCGGAACACCCATTACCACAGACATCAGTAGTGGAAATGCACCTCTGAGGGAGCTCTGTAGAGGTCTACATTCAAATCTGACTCCTCCCATGGGGTTTGTATATTTTGCATACTTTCTTCTCTGTCTGCAAATGAATGAAAAACAACAACAAATGACAGTAACATGACTTGCTTGCTTTGACAGGAGTTCTGGATTAAGTCAAAACTGCCTTACTCGGAGTGTTGATGATCTCATAGACTTTATGAGGGTCTGCGGTCTTGGAGTTATCTTCGATCAGTCTGAAGTGCGGCGGGTGGTTGTTCAGGTTACAGCGAAAATTTGTTTTCCATCTGGCCTTATCATTTGGGAAAGTGATGATTTTACCACTCACAACCGCCCATGCCTGTGAACCACACAGTCGCATCTTGTTCAGTGGAGTACAATCTTATCAGTTTGAAGTGAACCCTCATTCACTTTTACTGTGCCATGCATGTTAGTTCCTCAACTCTGCATATTAATGTAAATATACCGTATCACTCAGTAATTCTCAACTGGTGGGTTCGGACCCAAAATTGGGTGGCAGACAGCAAAGGGGGGAAAAAAAAAAAAAGATTTTGTGAAGAATTTGTCGTCTGAGTTTGTCAGAACAGCACAGAGGCGCACCAAGTGCAGACAACGAACCTACACTATTGGATAAGCGTCAGGAAATGTTACTCACTTCCGCTCTAGTCACAAGCTGCTCTGTAAACAAACACAATGCAGCTCAGCCGTTGGCTAGCAGATGCATAGGTAGCAATATTCTTTTGCCGTTATGACAGTCAAAGTCATATGAAACGGCATTTAAAAAGTTAACACACTGTCCATGGATGGATGGATGGATATGTTGAGGAAAAAAAGTGCTATTGTTCTTAACGTCTATAAAAGTGCATTGCGACATTGCAGCAATAGGAAGATGCGGGGCCCAGGTGACACAGTTGAGAACCACTGGGGTACTGTATATGTTTTGAAACACACTTATTTAGTCCAGTTTTTTGTGTAGTTGGTTCGAATGTTCTAGATTATGCTAGAAATTCGTATATTTTTAGATTGGTGCAAATAAACGAACTGCTTTATTTTGACAAGATTTAACAAGACAAGCAAAATCGCCCAATGTTGAACTCAATTTTGTCACATTCTAAAGCCATTTACAGCTCAAAGATTCAACAAATTTGGGTTTTAAATGGTGTTAAACTTCAACTTTAGACTTAACTGTACATTTAATTTAAAAAAAAAACGTTTGTTTTTTTTTTTTTTTTGCTCAATTAAAACCTCATTCAATATTGGACCTTAGAAAATGGTAAATCAGTGTGCCAGGTAACATGGTGTTACAACATGATGGAGGGAGTCAGACCTACATGAAATATTTTAGTGTCAACATCTGTGCAGTCCCTTTTGGAGTTGTGCTTCCAGGGAATTCGGATCTTGTTTGGAGCGACGAAGCGCAGACCCTCGTACTGGCCCGCCTGCACTTGCTCAATGAGCCAGCTGGCAAACGGTGGCTTGTGAGAGCTGAGAGGAAACATGTTGGATTACTCATCGCTCTTGTTTTGCTGCATTCAGGAAGAAATATTCTATCAGCCTGGTGGGAGACTTTAGCGGTTAACGAATAGCTGAATATACCGACAGACACTGGAAGCTTGAGAGGGGACTAACCTACCACACAATCACACGCTGTGCACCCGCAAGCAAAAGGGGTAATGGCAGGAAATCTTACCGGTGCATTTCTTGGCAGTTGTTCCTTCCTTTAGCAGAGTTTTTTTTCTGATTCTTTCCAGCACTTAGCGAGATTTTATACACACCCTCACACACATCATCGCGTGTCTCCTCCTCCGTGGGAGGGCACCTCTTCCTGTGGTATTCCCTGCTTCAGAAGGTGCGTTTCATTCAAGGCCAAGCAGGAAATGCCGATTTCACATGGCACTATAATCAAGCAGGAGGCTGCAAACCAGTTTTTTTTTCTTCAGATTTTCTTATTCCATGTGTACTTTCGTTATTGGGAGAAAATGAAAGTTGTCCAGGAAGTATGATGTCAGCTCTTGAATCATCCTTCCGTCCGTATTTTATCAGCGGTCTCAACCAGTTGAAGTGTTGAGACCCAACATACTGTATTCCAAATATTATATTTGTCCCCTGAGGGATAATTATAGTGACACAGGACCTAGTTCAAAGTTGACTTTGACATTTCCCATTCTCCTTAATTGAGAGACACAATGAGCTATAAAAACCTGTTGAATCTGCCTTACTTTACTTTGTGTTAAAACCTGACAGGTTTAATAACACAATAGGATGGATGGCTAAACAAAAACAAAAGGATTCGCTGGTCTACGGTAATGTGGTGCAAATAAAAGCTAATAATACATCATAAATCTGTTTCTGTGACCGCATCTCTAAAGTGTAATCGAGACCCGCTCTGTGACATGAGCTCTCGTCCACCTGTTCTGACTTTTAGTGAAGGTTTTGCTCACCAAAATATTGAAGAGGAAACCACTCATGGATTTAGATTTAAATGTGTCATCTCGAAATGAGGTGTCCTAATCCACAGCAGGGGACTTTTGGCATCAGGACCCTGCAGGTGTGCGATTGTACTCTATGAGTGAGTATTAATAACTGGTAAATGGGGGCGACCAGCTTTATGATGTACTTAATCTTCACAACAACTACTACCCAGGGTGATTCCCCTTATTTATCGCACCACGGTGTTTCCACACCTCTGAGTGGAACGCAATATTTGCAAAAATCGAGTTGGTTTTCACTTTTTATTGGTGGCTTTTCTGTATTGCTACCCACACCTCCGCAACAGTCCAGACGATTTTGGCCACAGTATTTGCTTAAGATTTATCCTATTTTTCTTTAGAAACATACAAAGTTGAGATACCAGTAATACAGAAGTGATACATAGCCAATGTGCACACTTCCCCATTCCAGCTATGCGGAGTCGACCTATCTCCTGTTGAGACCGCAGGTCTCAAATTTTAGTCAGACCTCTGTCTACGGTACGTATATCGGATAGCTGCTCTAGCAAATGCAGGATAAACTGAAAAATCCGCTGTCATCAGCTCATGATGACACACGTGCAGCTACACAGACTGTTGAGGGAAAATAAAATTTTCTTAATATAATTGACTTCAATATATTTTAACATGATGCTTGAGAGTTGCTCAAAGAATGAACTGGTGATACTGATGTTCATTTTAATCTGTGGAGGAAGAGTCAATCTACTCAACCAACCATGTCAACGCTGTTTGAAACCATTTGTAATAACCTGTTCTGAAAAAAATACCCACTAGATTTCAGAAAATCAACTTTGAAGTATCTTCGCAGCAACTTTATCGGCAGTTGTCAGACCTGTTTGATGACATTCCAGACTGCTGCTGAACAGTGGAAAATTTTCCACCTTGGAAATTTCAATGATCCAAGCTCAAGATTTGAATGATCTAACGTAAATGGGGAATTTCCAACTGCCCAGCAATAGTATGAAATGTCATGACAGCCTACTGGTATTGTGTTGTTGAATTCTTGTTGGTTCTGGTCATGTGTAACATTTTTTTTTGTTTTTGTCCTTGTGTTGCTATTCTGTAATGCCTCGACTGCATTTCTTAGGGTTTTAATTCCCATGACTCTTCTCTTCATGTGTCCTCGCTTCCCCCCCCCACAAAGACCCCGACAAGATGCTTGACTTAATGGAGACGTGAAAGGCCGTGTGTCATGATTAGCAAACTACTTTGTGATGGTTTCTGCTCATTAATGGTAGGTTATCTTGCTAAAGAAGAGGCGGCGCATGCCCATGCTCAACAGCAATCCTCTGGTTTTAAGAAGACTTATTATGTAATATTTACTACCAGCCGTTAGTTTTGAGTAATGCTGTCTGTCATTATTGTTTGTAATGACCTCTTTCAGTGCCTGAGCTGAAATTTTTTTCCTGTCATGCCATGTTGCCTTATCCAACCCTGATGATGACATTTTATTTTGCACCTTTGTAACCGTTAATATGACGCAGCCAGGGATTTTTTTTTTTTTTTTTTACTGTAATGCATCTTAACGACTGTATTGTTGATCCTCCTCCAACTTTCCCTCGTGTTCACGCTTGCTAACTACTGTACACCTACGCTCGCACACGTTTCTTGCATTCTCCCTCCCCCATTAACAGCACATGTCACGCAAGGTTATTGTTTGGAACTTTGATACTTCAGGCAGTGCTGTTCTTGTTACTTTTAACTATGAGTGTGTTTGTAAAGCTTTTCTTGCTGTGATATGTGTGTTGTGTTTTTGAAGTGAAAGTCCACTTGTTCCACTTTTGCAAGATTGTCGTATTCAAATGGAGAAGTCCCATAGACCACTGTTTTCCATGATTTTAATCAAAAAAAAAAGAAGAAACTTTGCATAAACTGTCATTGTAAGTGTAGAGAGTAAACAGGGGCTTCCCTTCTGTTGACACTGGCAGCCATAAAAGCTTTTGGGCGTGACCTTTGTTGTTTTGTCATGGAACTGTAACACTAAGCACCATCCAAAATAGAAGTAATGCCAAATTCTCGATAGACTCAGGATTTTTTTTCTGTTGTGCGGAAATCCATTTAGCACAATTCATTTATCGTATTTCTTTTTTCCCCAAAACTATTGAGTTTTGCAGGTGTATACAACTGTATCAAAGCATTAATAAAGTGTACAAAGTTGAGATTTTCTTTTTCGGAAAAATAAGTGGTCATTGAAGTAATGCCACATAGCAAAGTGGCTTGCGTAAAAATAGTATTCGGGCAAAAAAGAAAAAAAAATTAAATGGAAATAAATTGTCACCTGGTAGGACCCCCTGTATTTTGACATTCCAAAAATCTCAACACCACCAAACAACAATGTCACAAAAAGGACATTTTCTGATACGATGATCACTAAGTGTGAACTAGTGGCCTTGAACAGGTTGGCACACAGGTGAAATGTACCTTCTGCCATCTAGTGGAATAACATGTCATTGTTAAGATAAGAAATCCTTTATTTGTCTCACAATGGAGAAATTCCCAATTTACAGCAGCAAAATTATGAAAGGGTGAAGTAGAAGAAAAAAAGTGTGTGTGTGTGAGTGTGTGTGTGTGTGTGTGTGTGTGTGTGTATAATATATATATAGACTGAGGCATTTAATTGACTGAGACATACATCAACATCACTACAGTATCTATAATAGGTTACATTAACCTTTATACAACAGGTATGCCGCAGGAAATTCTGAAAATAATGTTAAGGTAACAACACTTGATGATCTCTCACGGCACACTAACGTGCTGTCCTTTGTGAGGTCAAGATGGGCAGCACAGTGAGCAAGGCTGTGTCACAGCTCGGTTTTTTTACACGGGCGTCCTTCCACATTGCAAAAACATGCATATTTGTTTGAAGTCTCTCTAAAAATAAACACAATAAAGTGGAAGGAAATTGAAGGATGTCACTCACGTTTGGGGAGAAACACAGAACAATCATGGCGCAACAGGGGCAAGGGGATACTATAGCATCTGCAGTTATTATTTTCTGTATTTTATTTTATATTATTTATGTATATAATTACGTTTAAAAACATTTAGCCGTTCACAACTAGCCATTCTGTTGTAATCCAATCCCTGCTACCATGTTTGTGCTGCACCTGAGGGTACTGGAGTGTGTGTGTGTGTGTGTGTGTGTGTGTGTGTGTGTGTGTGTGTGTGTGTGTGTGTGTGTGTATGTGTGTGTGTGTGTGTGTGTGTGTGTGTGTGTGTGTGTGTGTGTGTGTGTGTGTGTGTGTGTGTCACTTGTAGTGAGCTTCACTGCTGGAAAGTTCTTTATCCTAATTCAGGTGAAATATAGGCCCACGTTTACATTGGACAAACGTGTGCAGATCATTGAAAAACGGCAATCCCTGAATAAAGAAAGTGGAGTGAATTGAATCCATTATTTTATTTCCAACTCGCATATCGGTCAAGCCTCCCCCAAGTACCAGGAGAGAAAAAAATCTTGGTGCCGTGCCTGGACCAGAAGCTGAATTGGTTGCAATTACTAATATATACCACAAGGGAGCGTAATTATCACATTTTTTTCCGACAGTGATTGCATCGCTGAGTCTTCCAAAAAAGAGAAGACATTGCGAATCTATTAGCTGTACCCGAACAAACCCAAGTGCTTTTTCCCCCCTCCACTTTTTTAAAGCATGGTGCACATTTTAAAACTACAAGTTGAATTCTCTTGTTAATGAACTGTCCACTCTGTGATGGTGCTGAAATGCCTCCGTGCACCTGCAGTTCCATTTGTGATCTGAACTCTGCGTGCGGTTTTAACACCACGCAGCAATGTCTTTCGATTCAACAGGGGCGAACGCAACAGAGTGCCCATAGCCTGCATGTCATAAACACAATGTTTACTTTGGAATGAATCGCGTCCTCGCGCCACTTGTCTAATTGCCAATTACTGTGCACAGAGACACGCTTAGCATCTATTTGGCCGCGTAAAGCTGTAGCCTGGATACAGCACCGAGCGTCTTGGTATTTGTGATCGTAAAGAGCCAAAGGAGAGCGATGGTGGGGGCGAGGACTTATAATTTGAAGACTTGCCAGGGGTACATTGTCAAATTCAAAAGGCATTTCAAAGAGTCCAACCATTCACTTTTTTCATTCTCCCCTTTTTTCCAGTCTTTTCTGTCTCACCCCCCCCCCAACCCTCCACCTCTCGCCCCTCGAGCTCCCTGCTTTCTTCTCGCACGGTTGCAGGCCGTTTGAATGGACCAATGGGCCTTCAAGTTGGAGACATTGGAATGCAAATGAGGTCAGCGCGTGCTCGGGGCCCAGTGAAAGCTCAGATTGTTTATTGAGCTCCCGGAGCCACGCGCCTGGCCCGAGGGAGCCGGCCCGCGGAAGAATCACACAGCGGGGGCGGGGCCTCGCCACGGAGCGTGCGAGGAGGGGGTGGGTGCTTGGGTGGAGTGTGCGTCAGGGCGCGTGTTGAAAAAGAGGAGTGCTGCCAAAGTTTGGGTCACATAGGCTGGTGAAGAACAGCAGTCAAGAGAGATTTGAACCACAGTCGGCCACCACACGGTCCCCCCACACGAAGGACCCGAGAGCCAAGCGTCACCGCATCCATCACGGGAGCTGTCACAAACATGGCAACCATCACCACCACGCAGACCGCCTTCGCCTTCGCGCTCACTGAGAGACGCTCCGGCTTGAGCGTGCACGCTCCGGCGCAGGATTGCTCGCTCCCGACCGCGCACGAGCAGAACCGAAGCAACAAGGTGCTGAAGAGACAGCGCTCCAACTCGCCCGAGCTGCTGCGCTGCAAGCGGCGCCTGAGTTTCAACGGCCTGGGCTACTCCATCCCTCAGCAGCAGCCCGTGGCTGTGGCCCGGCGGAACGAACGGGAGCGGAACCGGGTCAAGCAGGTCAACATGGGTTTCCAGACGCTTCGCCAGCACGTGCCCAACGGGGCCGCCAACAAGAAGATGAGCAAAGTGGAGACTCTGCGCTCAGCGGTGGAGTACATCCGAGCTTTGCAGCAGCTTTTAGACGAGCACGACGCGGTGTCGGCGGCGTTTCAGTGCGGACTGCCCTCGCCCACGCTTTCCAACACCTACTCGGCCGACCCGGAGTCGCCCCACTCCACGTACTCGTCCGATGAGCCTCTGAGCTCCGAGGAGCAGGAGTTGTTGGACTTCACCACCTGGTTCGACCGGTATTGACGCAGCACCACACGGCGGCGCCCGTGCGTAAAAGCGAGCCGGTGCGTGGCCCGCACCGGAGACACGGCAGTTTCGAAGAGTGTTGTGACCGCCCGCCCTCACCTGACTCTGCGAGCAAAGCAGCCAAGCAATAATGACAGCGTTTGAGGGAGTGAAGGAGTGAAGGGGTTGGACTGTGTCATGTTGACGCGCTGAAGTAAATACTGTTGAATAAGTGCAATTAGGCGACGCTCAGACACACGCACACACACGCACACGTACAAACTCAAATTCAGCCACAACCGTCCTCAAATGACTTAAGATGGACAAACATGTACATTTCTTTCTTGTCATTCATTGTAACATGAAGACCTATTTTTGTACACTGAAAATTGTGACTGACTGATGGGCTAAGTTTTATCAGCAATATCAAGGCTACTACCTGGGACGAATTGTAGTTCATTTCCCTTTTTTATATCAATCTATCTAAAAATAGGAGGCGATAAGGAGATCTCTTTTGATGTATGCACTTGTTCTCCACTTCATGTAGCCTCCAAATGTACATATTTGATTTTAACAGATATATTTGTGTAAAACGAGTTTTATAAATAAAATAATCTATTTATATTACATGCTTGTGTGTGTGTGTGTGTGTGTGTGTGTGTGTCTGTGTCTGTGTGTGTGTGTGTG